AAAGAATCAAAGGAAAAAACAACAACCTGTGATTTTGACTTTGAGCAGTACTTTTTTGTATCTATTGATCTTCCCGTAGACTTTACATCTGTATTCTCCACTGTCTCTCACTGTTGGGTATTTCAGGGTCAGACTGAGGTCTCCAGTTTTCAGCAGGTCTTTATTCACCTTCGTCCGGTCTCTGTAAAACTGGTGCTGTTCTTCATGCTGGTCAGAGCCGTTCTTAAACACATGGACCATCCTATCACCACTGACCTTCCACTGCACTTTGGCATCTTCAGGCAGGTTTTCTGTTGTTTTGAAGGGCAACTTGACAGACTCCACCCCCTCCTCCACCTCCACCTGACAGACTGAGACAACAACAAATACAACATGAGCTGTTCAGACAGCAGCTGGCTTTTCAGTGTTGCAGAGAAAACTGAGGGACAGAAGCATATCTGAGTAGAAGGTAACAGGACAGATATCTAGAAAGTCAAAACAAGTTCAAAATGTTAGAGATGATCAGAGTCTGATGGTGCTATTTTTTCGTGTCTATTTCCTGCTTTACAGTAATTTCTCCTGTCAGTGTGGAGCTTTTGTCTGGGTCTTTTTGTCGTAGATGTAAAATGGATCATTAAATACAAGAACATTTGTATTTCCTAAAAAGATTCAAGATCAAACAGCCTCACTGAAAATTTAATCCAGTCAAATCAAATGAATTCCTTCAAAGTTGATGATGATCTGATAACATCAGATGGACTGTTTCCTCAAAGCAAACTGAATCATTGGCTGGGTTGCTTCCCACTTCCAGACACTCCCCGAGGCCACTGCCCACTGAGAAGTTTATTAGCAGTTATTTTTCTGTTTGGATCCACACCACAGACAGAAGTACCATCACTAATGTGATATAAGAATCAAGCACCACCTGAGAGCAATTTAATATGCTTAAATGATTTGAGAAATTAAGTGGGCAATGGCGAGAAGGTTAGCACTGTTGCCTGAGTTTGACTCCACCACCTGGCTGGGGCCTGTCTGTGAAGATTTTGCATTTTCTTTTTCGGTCTGCGTGGATTCTGTCCAGGTACTCTGGCTTCCTCCCGCAGGTCAAAGACATTATTGTTAGGTTAACTTCTAAATTGCCCATAAATGTGAATGTGAATGGTTGTCTGTCTCTCTGTGTTAACAACAGATTGTGACCTGTAACACATTGGCGACCTATCCTGGGTGTATCCACCTCCTGCCCCATGGTAGCTGGGGTAAGCTACAAGCACCCACCTACCTCTGCTCTGAACTAATTAGGCAAAAGAAAATGGATGCAGAAATCAATGTCAAAAATGGCGTTCAGATTTCAAGCACATGCTGACCTTGGACTTTCAGCTCCACTTGTTTCTTCATCAGGATGTTTCCCTCCTTGTAGACGGTGCAGGTGTATGTCTTTGTGTCCCAGTCTGTGGGGTATTTCAGGGTCAGACTGAGGTCTCCAGTTTTCAGCAGGTCTTTATTCACCTTTGTTCGGTCTCTGTAAACCTTGTCCTGTTCTTCAAGCCGGTCAGAACCGTTCTTATACACATGGACCTTCCTGTTCTCTCTGTCTATCCACTCTGCTTTTACATCTTCAGGCAGATTTCCTGTGGTTGTGAAGGGCAGTTGGACAGACTCACTGTCTAAAACCC